GGCGGAGGGCAGCCGAGGGTCCTTTGAGGAACTGAAGGAGCTGGTGGCAGGCTGGCCAGCTGGCTGTGTGTGTGTGCATCAGTCCTGTGCTGGGCACATACCCACCCTATGAAAATAGGGCAAGATGCCCAGGCCTTGTCCTGATCCTGCCACCCTTCTCCCCCCAGAAGTGGACGGAGCCCCGAGTGACATCTACTGATGACTCAGACCCCTGGTGGGCAGCATTTAGCGGGGTCTGCAAGGACATGTGAGCGCACTGGCCCCCCTCCCCTCCCGCTTTCTGTGCCCTTCAGTCCTGGTCTCGCCCTCTTCCCTGCCCCCCCGCTCACCAGCTCTGCCCCCGCAGGCGCCTCACGCTGGAGCAGGAGATCTTCCCCGCTGCCACGGACAGCCGCTACCTCCGTGCGGTGAGCTGCTCGCAGGCGGGTGGGCAGTGGGCAGTGCTGGGTGCTGGCCTCCCCCTGATGGCTCCTCCTCGCCCTGCAGGTGGGGGTCCCAGCTCTGGGCTTCTCCCCCATGAACCGCACGCCCGTGCTGCTGCACGGCCATGATGAGCGGCTGCACGAGGCCGTGTTCCTCCGTGGGATTGACATATACACACGGCTGCTGCCTGCGCTGGCCAGCGTGCCCGCCCTGCCCAGCGACAGCTGAGCCCACGCTCCCCGCCTCTGCCCCTGGAGCTCCCACCTGGCCCGTGCCCAGGCCCCTCTCCCCTGCCCCACAATAAAGTCTGTGTGGCCAGGGCCGCTGAGACCTGGCAGCAGCACGTTTGCAGAGCAGGGTGTGTGGTTATCATCCCGCTGACAGGGGAAACTGCCTGGCTCTGGGCACGGCCCACCACCCCAGGCTGCGTGTCCTTCACATAGCACAGCCACCTGACCCCCAGCCCTGTGGCCGGCCACGAGGGGCCAGCATTCCGTTCTCAGTGGCCACCGTATCTACGTCTATGTCGGGAATATCACTCCCATTGAGGGGGACAACAGAGATCTCAGGGCGTTACTCCTGGCTCTCCGGGAGCACACGCCGGACCCAGCGCTGGAGGCCGGCATGGCCCCTGCCAGACGTGGGCAGGCGGGCGCAGCTGGCAAGGCAAGGCTGCCAGCACGGTCAGCCCTCAGGCAGGCAGGAAGCAGGTGTGGCCCTGCTCTGGTTTGGGGTGCACAGGTCTGTTCATCTTAGGGTCCCAGCACTCTGGGCAGGGGTCACAGAGGGGCACACAGTCGGCTTCTGTCGGCCAGCCCTGCTCGGCCCCAGGCGGTGCCAGGGGTCAGCTGTGAGCCTGTGAGCTGAGCCGCCCGCTCGCAGCCCTGGTCTAGTCCTGTTCTGACCTCCCTGAGCGTGGGCAGGGGTGGCAGGGAGGGCTGGCTTCTGAAGCTCCTAGTTGTGGCCAGAAGGGAAGCCCAGGGCCTGCAGGCTCCGTCCTGATAGTAATAGTAGCCCCTGCTCACGGGTCCTGACAAGGAGCCAGGATACTGGCCAGCTTCTCGCCTTCCCAGGGCCCCCAGCAGCCGACGCAGGTCCCTGAGCCACTTTAGAGTCTGCTGGCAGCTGACCACGACCGCACGGCCTGAGGCAAGGGAGTCAAGGTCTGAGACTAAGAACGGGGGACTCGTGCTTCCTACACTCTGGAGGCCGAGGCAGCAGCTGGCTGTGGCCTGAGGAAGCCTGGCTGAGGCCCTGACCTGGGGTCTCGTGAGATTGGGGTCCGCCTCCCCCTTTCAGACTGGACAGGATCACACCCTGTCCCAGGGACATGAGCACAGGCCTCACTTTGGCAGCCGTCCAACCTCAGGCTGGGCCAAACCACCTTCAGGACACAAAACCTCCTGGGCCCCGTCAAGCTCCCAGCTGACACCAGCCGGTGGGGCAGTGCCTGCCAGGATGACAGGCGAGACCTAGCAGCCCAGCTCTGGTTGGCAAACTAACACTTCCTAGGCCCTGCGTGACCTGCTGGGCTCCGAGGCTACGTCCATCCCTCTAGCTGCTTCCCGTCAAACAGACGGCAGTGATGCCCCCTTCGGAGGTAAGGGACCGCATTCCCTGGGCAGCACCTCTTGCCCAGATAATAGCGCCCTTTTTTGAGCCTCCCAAGTGCCCAAGGTTGGACCATACTCCACACGACCACTACTCAAGGCTGGTTCGAGGACTAACAGTAACTTAATCCGCGGTGCATCCTGGGCGGCGGCACCGTGAGGGCTCTCTGTGCAGCGAGGAGGCAGGGTTCTGCAGTGCATGGCGGGGCCCATGCTGACCTGCTCGAGATAAAGGGCCCATGCCTTCCATCCAGGGCAGGCCAGGGCCTGCTCCAGAACCACAACACACTGGGGCACGGGGAGGGGTCAGCCTGGGGGACGACAGGAAGCCACTTCCATCCTGCCTGGATCCAGCCTGCAGGTGGGGCAGCGGTCCCCAATCCTCCCAGGACGGGCTCTTAGTCTCATATGGCCCCTCCCCCTCAGGTGCCCTTCACCTGCCAGGGGCTGCAGCAGCAGGGAGGTAGCTTGTATGGTTACCACTGACCGCACTGGAGACCGTCACAGCGACAGTATAGACACAAGCAAGGAAAAGGCCGATTAAAAGCAACCCAAGCGTTAAAAACCACTGTTTCCGCCATGTTCCCCAGGACCCTAGGAGTGCGCTAATCGGTCACTTGGCCTTGGGTTGGATCACTGGGGGCGCTGGAGAGTTCATACGTGTTTACAAAGAAGGGACACTAGCAGGAGCGTCGGGTATAACACGGCTGTGGGTTAGGGTGATGGCAGAGGTGCCTCCCTGTAATGACGCCACAGCAACAGACCATCGGAAAACACATATATAATTACATATTGTTTTTGTGATTAATCACTATGCTTTATGTTCAATTTGTAACAATGAAAATACATCCTGCATAGCAGATATTTACATGACGATTCATAACAGTAGCAAAATTAGTTATGAAGTAGCAACGAAAATAATTTTATGGTTGGGGGTCACCACAACATGAGGAACTGTATTAAAGGGTTGCAGCATTAGGAAGGTTGAGAACCACTGGTCTACAGGGACTTGAACTGGGAGATCACAGCCTTAGGTCTGCCTGTGGATGCAACTGCAGCCCGGGAACCTGGCCAGGCTGTGTAAACCGTGTTGGCTGGAGAGGGGATGGTTTGTCGTGAGGTCAACAGCAGGGGACGTGCCAACCCGGGACCCTTCCTCCCCCTCTCAATGGTGCAGGTACCAGTCCCCATAGTGTCTCCATGGGCCCCCCTGGGGACAGCGTTCCTCCCCACCAGGGGCATCAAGTAACTGCCCCACTGCAGATGCCAGTAAATGGTCCCAGGTCCAGGGCACAGGCCTGGTGCCTCATCAATCCTCTCAAAACAGCCCAGCGGTCAGACCAAGGTTCATGCGTGACCAACCAGACGCTGTTACCTCGGCCTGTTGGCTGCTGTGATGCGTGTGTTCCCACCCAGGGTACCACAGACGGTGGAATGCCAACTGCCATCAGGTGGGCGACTACCCAGCTAGAGCCATCCGTGTACCAGGCTCGGCGAACTTCCTGCTCCTCCTTTGCAGAGGCAGGGGCAGGAACATTCTGAGGTTGGGCCTCGTAGATGCTATGGGTGGGGAGGTCATTTAATGGGCACAGATGACCGAGCCGTGGCAGGGCCGGCCAGTGGATTGTGTGGTCAACCCACCCCTTGATGGCAAGTTCTTCCTCTGGCTGCTCTATCTGGTGCATCTGATATCTGCCCCCTTCATAGTTGGGACCAAAAATCCCAGGGGCACTGGAGTTTGACAGGTACCTGCTCTCAAAGGCAGCCTGTGGTCCCGCTCCCGTCCCCATCCCCTCAGCTAAGCCAGGTGAGGGGTGAAGGCACTGTGCCAAGTGGTTTAAAAGCTCGCTGACACCCCGGAACCCCCACAGAAAGCCTGTGCCTCTACATGTTTTTGGTCTGGGGCAGGTCTGTACTTTTCCTGACAGCCTCAGGGACAACACAGGCCTCACTCGGATAACTGGACTCCCCAAGCTTTACGGCAGCGCCTGGACCTTTTCTCCTTACAGAGCCCACTCTTCATAGCACCAGTGCCAACCAGGCAGCGACTCCATTCCTGGGGACCAACTAATGGGGGTCCCACAAGAGGCCTCCGATCACCCCCACAGCCTTCACTTAAGGACTGTACCCGGCCCCCGATGGCTTCTGCTCCGAGTGTCGCTGGGGTAGCTGAGGGTGCGGGATGAAACTGCTGTTCGGGTCTTCAAGCCTCCCATGACCCTAACACTGCTTCAGGCTGAAGATCAGCCTCTTCCCTTGTGAGGGGAGGGCAGCGGATGGGCGACCAGTTAGCCTCCCTTCCTACTGCCTTCACTCTCCAAGTTCCAGTCTTCCCGCAGCTCAGACATGGATGGAGACCCGCATGTCTTGTCCCCTACGGGGCTAGGCGTGGAGACACTGCACTAGGGGCTCTATGCCGACTCTGCTTCCACTCCTGCTATGAAAGTGGCCTGGTCAGGTCCCTCCCACACTGGGCACAGACTGCCCCGTGCATGCCCAGCTTTTCAAGAATGTGCTGTACTTCCAGGGCCACACTTGCCAGGCCTCCCTGCAGGTCAGAAAGAGCCCATCTGGATGTGACCAAGCAGCAGCCATTTCATGGAAGTCTCTACTCCACACCCAGGCCCCAAGCACCGGGGGAGCAGCACCACCCACCGCAGTGGATGCTGGTACACGAGCAACAACAGCCAGAGTCTGGAACGCCAGGCCAGAGCGCAGGATCCTTCCGCTCCCTCCCGTCTCCTTCCTGTGCAAACATCCAGACCTAACAAGGAGGCCTGGGATTTCTCTCCTCACTAGCCTGCTCCAACCAGCCCTCATGGTCTAGGTCCCTTCCTGTATTCCAGGGAACAACTTCTCCACACCCAACCACAGCCAGAGAAGGCGGACTCTTCTCCCACAGAAAACGGAGGTACCGAGCCCACCGAATGCTAGGCCCAGCCCTGGGATCAGACACGGGCTGACAAGACAGTTCCTGCCGCAGGTTTATTTGTACAAACAGCACAGGAAGACACCAGCGCCACACAGACAGCAGCCCAGGGGGCCCACCAGTCCTTCCGTCCTCACGTCGGCAGACAGAGGCCTCTACTGTGGAGCCTTCGTGGGGGGCTGGGCACCTTTGGGAGCGGGAGCCTGAGCCCCTTTGGGAGCGGGAGCCTGAGCCCCTTTGGGAGCCTGAGCTGCAGCCGCACCCGCAGCCTGGGGCTTGGTTTCCGCCTTGGCCTTGGCCTTTGGCCGGCAGGGCCTGAGCCCCTTGGCAATGCGGGCACGAGCACGTTTCCCAAGCTTGGGGTGAGCGATGTAGGCAAGTCGACTGAGTTTGCGGCTGCAGCCCTTTGGGATATTGGGCCTGGGCTCCTTGGGCTTGACCAGGGCCTTGATGGCCTCAGCACGTGCGCTCATGGCCTTGGCGTTGTTGGCCTGCATCTTCTTCAGGCCCTTCTTGTTGTGCTTCTTGGCAAAGCGCATGTTCCTTAGGAACTTGGGGTCTACCTGGAAGGCAGGAAAGGTACAGGCGCCTATGAGTGCAGCATGTGGGGGGGGGGGGGGAGCGGGCAGCGCTGGAGCCCCTCTCCATAGCAACACCAAGAGACGATCCGGCTCAGCCGAGGCCTATCGGAGGCTTGGACAGCATCAAACCCAACCTTAAATGCACAAACACCCAACCCTGGAAGCTTATCTGCAGAGAAACTCCAGATGTAGCACCACCCGAAGCCAACCACCCACCTGCTGATGCCACAGACAGAGCCAGCCGAGGGCAAATGCAAGCGCAGAAGAAAAGAAATAAAGGCTGCCCTACCCCCTCTGCCCGTTGTAGGACTTTGAAAACCTCCTAAGAAAAGCATGTCAAGCTCAAGGCCCACACATTTTTGCGGCCCAGCCAACATAATGGTATATAAGAAACGTTTTAATAAAAATTTTGTAACTTTTACAATATCCCGGTATACATAATTAATAACAAACTACAACGAATGACTAAGATTTTAGTTTATGTGAACCTCAAAAAAAACAAAAGCTTCAATTAACAAAAGCTAATGACTTCTATAATCGTGCAGCATTCATTTCCCTCACACGCCTTACGCACAGGCGCACCATTTCTCTCCACTATTACTAGCAGCGAATATTTTAGCAGCCATGTCATTAGTCTTGGACTGACTTGTTTGGTGTGCACAACAGGAAATATTTCGCTTTCGGAGAACAAGAAAAATAGGTTTATTTGCGTTACACTTATTAATTTGCGCAGTTATTCAGTGTCTGGTAAGTTAATGTTCAAGGAAAAATATTAACTTTTATTTAAACGTTCTATTATCCTAACAGTTACTTATTTATTTCAGCCCTTTGTGTATTCAGCATGTCTCTATCGAAATAAACCTACATTTCTATGAAAATTGAAGCTTTTGGTTTTTTGAGGCCCACATACACTTACACCTCATTTGGCCATGTTAGCCTCTGAGTCTGACATGCTTGTCCTAAGGGACACCCAGTCCCCTTAAGGAAAGGTGTCAGTTAAATACCACGCCCGGGTACAACAGACTCAAGCAAGTGATACAGACCGAGACCTGAAAGCCGAGGCTCGGTTCTCAGCTAGTCTCAACGCCCTGGCGCTGAAGGCAGGCTCGTAAGGGATGCGGTCCCACACAAAGCCACCCCAAGTCGCTGGGTGGACAAGGGAGATGGCTGGGTCGGCCCGGAAAGGCTCGTCCCACCTGACCCGGAGTTACATCCAGGGCTGGAAAAGGCCACGTACAGCTTTACGGTGGGTCTGGCAGAGCCCGGAGTCCAGGCAAGAGCTGGCTGGGTAAGAAGGAAACCGCAGCCCCAAGCAAGCCGAGGGTCAGCTAACGGTGATGCCAGGCAGGCACACTCCTGGTGACTCGGCGCACACTTACCCCCTTAAGAGATTCGTATCTTTGTGACCGGGGTTTCTTGATGCCGTTTCTGTGCCATTTTCGCGCTGTGGAGGAAGAAAGGAATGACATCAACATAAGGTTTTCTCTAGTCTAGTAAGACCCGTCAACACCCCAGCTGCCAAGCCTGGGGAACCCTTTACTTCCCAGAGTGGGCCTGCCCGCGAGCCGGGAAACCCCTTACCACCGAGCACTGCGCACAGAGCACTGCGGGGAGCCCCGCGGACCCGGGCCTTCTAAATCCCAAAGGCAATGCGGTAAAATCAAAACCGGGCCTCGGGCCGCAGACATGTGCCCCCTGCCCTGCCCAGGATCGGTGATCCTTGCCAGGGTGTGGGGCGTGAGGAGGCCGGGCCGGAGGCACTTACACTGGTTGTGCGTGGTGTGGTTCTTGGACTTGGCCATCTCTGCACCTGGAAGACACGAGCGGAGGTCAGGGCTGCGGACCCGCCGGGCTGGGCCTGCCCTCAGCTGGAGGAACGCGGGGCCGGAAGCCAGGACGAGGCTGCAGCAGATGCCTTGCCCCTGCGGCCTCCACCCGCCTCCACTCACTCTGCACCGCCGGCTCCAGTCCCCGCAAATGCGGCGAACGGCGCCCCGAAACCAACATCCCGCCGCAAGGTTGCGCTTTCCCCCAAAGCCGAGTCCTCCATTCCCATCCAGCCCTCGACAAACCCACGAGTGCCACCCCGCCTCGCGGCCTCCGCCCCCCACAGCAGGCAGCCCGTCTCCCGGTCCTCCCCGGGGTTTGCGCCCCGCCGCCACCCGGGAGTCGCGGATGGTTTCGGATGCCGCGCGGCCAGTACTCACCGAAGCCCGCGGCTCCCGAAGCGCCAGGGACCGGAAGAGAAAGAGGCGGCCGCGGTGCAGCACGGGAAATACGGTCGTCGAGGCCGGAAGGTACTACTGAAAAAGCTTCCCCGGCGCCGGGAAGAAAGGTTCCTAAGGCTGAGACGGTACCGTCAGCTGGAAGGCGGTGCTACGAGCCTGGTCCCGCCCCTTTCGGTCTTCCCTTCCCTTTCCTTTCTCCTATTCCTCCTGCATCAGGTTCATTGGCCCAAGTCTCATTAAAACCTGACCTTTTTCCCTAACCGGTTTGGCTCAGTGGATAGAGCGTTGGCCTGCAGACCGAAAGGTCCCAGGTTCGATTCGGTTAAGGGCATGTACCTCGGTTGCGGGCACATCCCGAGTAGGAGGTATTTCTAACTCTATATCCCTCTTCCTTTCTCTCTGTAAAAAAGCAATAAAATATATTAAAAAACAAAAAAACCTGACCTGAAGGCTAAGGGAATCCTTGAGGGGTTTGTTAGGCAGGAAGTGACAGACTTTTATTCTTAAAAAAATACCCCTGGTGCCAGCTGGCGTGGCTCAGTGGTTGAGCATCAACCTAGGAACCAACAGGTTGAGGTTCAATTCCTGGTTAGGGCACGGGTTGGGGGCTCCATCCCGCGTGGGGGTGTGCAGGAGACAGCCAATCAGTGATGTTCCTCTCTCACTGAAGTTTCTCTCTCTCTATCCCTCTCCCTTCCTCTCTCTCTAAGAATCAATACAAACATATATATTTTAAAAAGTACCCCTGGCTACGGCGTGGAGAGTGGACTGTTGAAGGGAAGAGGAGAGAAGGGGAGGCTGAGAAAGGAGGGGTGGAGAGTTGGAACATAAACTCTGAAGTTCACGTCCCTCCAAGAGATGGATTCGGAGCTTCTGGGAGAAGGGAAGGCGGGGGGCCAGGCTGGGGCTCAGGGTCTGTCCGGAAGAGAGAGGACATTTCCGACAGAAGCTTGGAGGCTCAGCCACTGGGTATGCCTCACAGCTCAGGCCTCTGATTTCCCTCTGGAGAGTGCCTGGCCCGGGAGTGATACCGTGTCCCCAGCCGGAATGTGAGCCTGTGGTCCACGCGGGGGCAGCATTGGACCGAGGATGGAGTGGGGCCCTGCGGGGAGGTAGGGAGCTCCCCTCCTGCGGGAAGCCCTCCGGCCCACCCAGACCTCTCACTCCCCGCTTCTCACACCCATCCCCACACCCCTCCCTGCGGATCCAGACCCTGCCTGTCCATTCTCAGCAGGTCCTCTGGGGGAGGTTGGGTCTCCCCTGGCTCCAAGCTCTGGGTGGTGGTCTGGGAAAGGGGGTGTCTTCCCCTAAGGAGGGTTCAGGACAGACAGGGGAGCCTGTGGTCCACCGCTTATCAGAGGGGAGGATGCACCCCAAGATGCCGAACAGAGAGGGGCCCATTGAGGCAGGAGCCTCTGAGGGTTGGCAGAGGGACCTGGAAGCCTTGCTGGGAGAGGAGGCCTGTGGCTGGGGCTGAAGGCAGGCCATGTACGATGAGGCGGGAGTGGGGAGAGGGGAGCACACGGTGGGCTGCAGGGGCACAGGCTGGCATTTGCTCCCCAAGGCTCTCTGGCACCGGACTACAGCTGACCGGGCCTCCCTGAGCTGTCACTGTACCCCCAAAAGCCTCAGAGGCCTGGCCCGAAGTGGGTGTCCTCTGTCCCAGCACACAGCCCTACATCTGGGGGTCTGGGAGGGGGAAGGAGCATCCTGCTAGGCCTGGAGCCGGAACCTCTGCATCCGTTATGGCTGGTCCTCACCACGCCCTCAGGGTGGTTAAGCCCTCAGAGTGGCTAGTCCCGTGTTGCAGATGGAGTCGCTGTGGTTCAGAAAAGTGAGGTGACTTGCCTGGGGCCTCCCAGCTTCTCCTTTGCCAAGACCACTCCCAGGAGTTCTGGGCTCGAGTTCTGCCGGAGACTCACACCATGTCAGGAAAAGGGGGCGACGCCTCCCTGGAGGGGTCCTCTGGTGCAGTGTGCTCAGGCACCCACGGCAGGTGGCAGGGGGGCCTACCTCAGTGCCCCCAACAGGACATTGGTCAGCCTGCCTCTCTGTGTCCGCCCCACACTTGTCCCCTTGTCAGTCCTCACGTCCAGCACTGCCCGTCCAGCACTGGCGGAGGCTGGAGAGCGCAGCCCAGACGGCGTCTTGACGCCGAGGGCAGTGCTCAGTCCTCGCCTGTGAGGGGCCGAGGGCTCTACCTACCTGGCAGCTGTGGCGAGGCTCGGGGGACCCCTTCATGCCAAGCACTCGTCAGGGCCAGGCCCACCTGCAGCCCCCCTGGGACAAGATCTGAACCAGCCAGAAAGCCAGGCAGGAATTGGGGTCCTTCCCCGCTCCCCCACCTCCTGAGGCTGCCCACCCTAAGTTGCCCTGTGGGTAGAGATGGCGGGGGCAGGAACGGGAGAGGGCGGCTGAGGAGCAGCTGGTGAGTGTGCTACCACCTGGCCCCAGTGTGGGGGGGAGAGGGCAGCGGCTGAGAGGCCCCAGTGTCGGCTCAGCCCTCAGCGCCGCCTGCCCGCCTGGCACGGGGCCCTGGCAGAGCAGGCTTAATCGATCGTTTTCCGCCAGCAGCTCCGGGAGGCGCAGGGGCGGCTTCCCCTTGACTCCCGGTTCTCGGAGGCTGCGGCTTCGCTAAAAATAACTGGAATCGCAGCGCTGGGGCAGGAGGGGGCGGGGCCTGGGCGGCGGGGGCGGGGCCTGGATGCGGGGCGGGGCCTTGGCGGCGGGGGCGGGGCCTCCTGCAGTTCTCTGCCTCCGGAAGAGACGCCCTGGGAGGAGATGGAGAGGAGGGTTGGCAGGGCAAGGGGTGCAGGACGCGGAAGGGCACGTGGCCCTCTCTCACCCGCTTCTCTCCAGGCCTGCCCCCCAGGGCGGTGTTTCCGGAGCAGAGCTGGGGTGAAGGCTGGCCTTGACCCCGGTGGCATCGCGGAGGGGGCGGCGGCGGGCTCTCTCCAGCAGGAAGTCCGTGTGGAGGAGAACCCCACAGACACTCAGGGCGGGGCCCCTCCACCCCTCCACCCCTCCCTGCCCCGCACCGTCAAATGAACCTGACTACGTCAAATGAACCTGACTACGTGTGAACGGCTCCCCACACGCAGGGGAGACCACAGATTTCAGCTGCCTGGACGCTGCTGGAGCCGGTCTGCCACAAACCAGGGGCCGAGGGTGCGGGTCATGGTGCTGTGGCTGCCTTTGGGATATCACCTTACCTCTCCAGACCTCAGTTTCCCGACAGCCCAACGGGCAGTACACAGTCGCCAGCGGGTGCAGATCACCCACAATGCCTGGGGCCTGTTCATTGGATCTCACTGTCCGCCTGGCTCTGGATGGCAACACTGAGGCTGCAGAGAAAGCAGCCGCTGGCGCGCTCAGTGATGGGCCAGGAGGGCAGGTGTAGCTGGGTCTGGCTGACTCGCAGGGTGCAGGGAGGTGGTGGCGAGCTGGCTGGGGACAGGCCACCTGCAGGCTGACTCGGGCCTGTCTTCCCCCACCTCCCTGGCCTCTAAGAACCCCCACCCAAAGGTGCAGGTCCTCACATTTCCCTCGTTGGGTCTTGGGAGAGGTGAGGTGTAAGGGACCCCCTTTTCATCTTCCTTCCACTCTTCTCCCACCTGTGTTCTCTGCCCAGCTCTGGCCCCTGGACGTGAGGTCAAAGGGCGGAATTCTCCTGGCCCAGGCAGTGGGACCTTCCGCTAGGTCTCTGCCTGGGCCGGCCAGGCTGCAGGGGGACGGGCAGGCAGGCCGCCTGTGACCTGGGGGTCCAGGCTGCCCAGGGGCCGGCCGAGGTTGGACTCAGGTGGGGGCGTTCAGATACCCTTACGTCCCGAAGGGGACCCTGGCTGAGGGGTCAGGCGGGCGAATGTGAGATGCAGCATGCAGAGCCCAGGACCCAGGTTCAAGTCCTGCACCTGCTACCAGCTGGCTGAGGACTTGGACGATCACTCAGGCCTCCATCAGCCACCTCTCCTGCCTACAGTAACAGGGCCCCTCTGTGTGTCACACGCTGGGCCCACCTCCGTGACGGGGTGACAGTGAGCGAGGCCCAGGCCTGCCCTCCAAGGTCAGAAGGTGTAAGCACTTGACCAAGGGACTAAGAACAGGAAGACGGTGAGCAGGCCTCTCCTAGGACCGCCATCCCTGTGTCTGTGGGCACAGCGCCCCGGGGGCTCCGCAGGGTGAGGCCTGTCTCCTGAGGAATGACCTGCAGCCAAGTTGGGCCCAGAGGTGGCGGGCGGTCAGGGCTGGGTGCACATGTGTGCCCACGTGTGTCACGGGGCCCTGACTCTGTGGGGAGCACCTGGCAGGAGCCCCACATCCCTCTTGTCATCACCACGCAGCAAATCAGTGTGTTTCGTAGGAGATACCTGGGTGGCCAGGGCAACGATGGCCGTGGACACAGGGCAGCTCCCCAGCAACTGTCAGCAGCCCGGGTCAGTGGAAAGGGACAGACAGGAGCACCGTGCTCCAGCTCCTGGCCTCGGGCCACGCGGAGTCTCAAGGCCCAGCACACACAGGAAAGGCAGCTAACAAGGCCTTCCCGGCCCCTTCTCCATGGCTCCACCACAGACAGCCTCCTGGGTAGATGGGGAAACTGAGGCTGGGGGCGGGCTGTCTAGGCGCATGAGTGCCTCCCCGTTTCCCTGGCCTCCCCCAAGACTCAGATGGGGTGCAGGAGAGAAGCGCTGCTTAGGAGTCTGGAGGCCTTGGTTCGAGGCTGCGGCAAAGGTGGCCAGTCCAGGCAAAGCCTCCCCTCGGATCCCCGTCCGTCTGTCCATCCGAGGGCCCAGCGCCTGCAGGGGGAGCACTTGGCCACGGGGGGCCCCTCACTGGCGGGGCCACCATCTCCACCCCCACAGCTGGCGAGGTGACCTCAGCCCAGCCTCTTGACCTCTCTGGACTGGGGGTGTCCCTCTGAGCAGTGGCACCTTCCCCAAGTCCCCCAGAGACAGGAGAGAAGAGACTCCAGTTCAGCACAGGAAACCAGGGGAGGAAATGGGCTGTGGAGGGGCGGCCCCATGCTCTCTGCAGCGGCATAGTGAGCTCAGGAGGGCCTGCACCCCAGACGGACTTTCTCCTTCAGGCCCTGTCTGCATGG